TGTGCTGGATTAGACTATATAGCCTGTTAATCTACACAATATATCTTACCCAGATTCTGTTCCAGAAGAAATAGGGGATATTTTTTTGTGTATTGCTCCAGTTGAAATTTCAATACCATGTCCTTTAAAACAACAATATATCTGTAAAGAACTCTGAAAAATATATCCTGAGAATTATCAGCAAACTCAAGCAATTTAAAGCACTGTTGATTCAAATTACAGACCTGAAGCATTAATTTGCCCATTTTACATTAAATGCTGGGGAATTTAACTAGCTCAGTAGTTGCTAATTCTAAATCCACTTTTTGAACGTTAGAGGTATGATTCGTGCTGCTTGTACGATTTCACTTTAAAGTTAAGTCAGAGTAAGATTAATCAGCGAACAGACCTTGAGCATCAATTTTAGTTCACCCAAATTCATATATATTAATATGAATGTCAGTGTAACTGGGAAAGCAAACAATGAGAACAGTTACATCTCCAATTTATATTACATCCTTTTGTTAGATCTTCCTAAAACCATTCTCTTAATGAATAAAAATTATACAATCTTGTTTTTAAAATAGTATAGAACAGCATAAAAACCCTGCAGAAAACTATACATTAAACTAGATCAGTGGCTCCCAACCTTTTCTATACCCCGCACCCCTAGAATGCTTCTGATATATTCTCGCACCCCTTACAAAAGTTTGAAATAACGGCAACGAATTATGCATATATACTATAAGTTTGAGAACCCAAGTTTTCGAGCCCCCTGCAATATCGTCTTGCGCCTCCAGGGGGTGGGAGCACCCCCGGTTGGGAACCCCTGGACTAGTTTATGTATTGTTCCATTGTATACCAAATTAATATCACATAATTATAAATGACTGCAGTTGGCCTATCAGTAACTACCTTGATTTTACAGTATAAGATTTATGTAAAATCTAGAGTATATATATTTTTAAAGGATTTCAGATAAATTCTGTATTGGATATAAAATTCTACATATACAGCAAGGGTGCCTAACCTTGGCAACTTTAAGACCTGTGGACTTCAACTCCCAGAATTCCCCAGCCAGCCATTCTAGGAGTTGAAGTCCACAGGTCTTAAAGTTGCCAATGTTATAACTGTTATACAGTATCTGCAAATATGGAATTACTGGTAAAATATAGGTGTTGTAGTTCTGATGGGATGACTTTAAGTGTTCAGTATTTCTAAACATTATTTCAGATATGTTGCCTCTTACCTGTTACAGATTGGCCAGTATTTGTCCCTTGCAATCTGTTTTGAAGTAGTGTCCCCACAGCATTTGTTAAAGTTGGTTCTTTTTTGGAAACTCCTTGTTTTCCCTAGAAAACAGAGCATGCATAACTAAACAGAGTCACAACAGAGGTTCACAATGTAATACAGTTAATCATTTATATATTTTAAAAAAATCTTCAAAGGAGTAAGAAGATAAGAAGACATTGATATTGACTGAGCAATTTTTAAATATTCCCGTCCCTTATTTCAAAGGATTACTTGTCATTTCCTGAACCTGAAGTGAAAGAGCCACAACAGTGACAGGAATATGGTCGAAATTCTGCCATGTATGATGATCCTTCAAAAAAGGGATGAGAGAAAAATGGCAGAAGCAAAGAACTTGAATAGCGTCCAATTACTTACTGAAGCTGGTTTGCCTCCCTTCTGGCCTGGAGCAAAGGATCTTCTGGCTGCTTGTTCTTTGCAAAAATTGATGTGCCTTTCTGCAGCAGTCTCATTAAACCGTCTCATACAGTAAGGACATTGAATATAATCTGAATACAACAAAGCACCATGGTTATCCCAAATGATCCTTGGAAGAGGAGTGTATGAATTGCAACTTTATAGAAATGAAGCAGATAAATGAATGACATTTCCACAGTTCTACTCTCAAGAATACTATAGAACAGGGGTGTCAAACTCAATTTCATTGAGGGCCGCATCAGCGTTGCGGTTGCCCTCAGGGGGCCGGGTGGGTGTGGCCAGGGTGGGTGCGGCCTACTGGGTGGGTGTGGATGAAGTGGGTGTGGCCTACTGGGTGGGTGTGGCTAGCTCTACATCGTTCGCGTCAAGGGTGCCTGTGGGGGCCTGGGCAGGAGTGGGACAGATCTGAGGGTCTCTGGCAGAAGGGGGTGGGACCAGGGCAAGTGCCAAGGCATGGTCCACTGGAGGACCCTCACTGTTCCTCTCAGGCCATGCGGGGGGGGCTTATGGAGCTAAGACTGAATGCGTTTCAGCATAGATGGCCACCACAAAATTGTACATTGGCTCCCAGCTGGCCTGGGCCAGGGCTAAGGCAGAGGGGGCCATTCCCTCACTGTTTCCAGGATGGCTTCGCGGGCCACATGAAACCACTTCGTGGGCCGCATCCAGCCCCCGGGCCTTGTGTTTGACATGTCTGCTATAGAAAGCCGTTGTTCCTCAAGGCCTAAGCAAGAAGGGGGGAAAATCCTACTCACAATAAATATTTAATTGTCAGAATTATACCAGCTTTTGACTCAGAAAGTTACCTATATTCAGAACAGAATGGATTGCATCTACAAATAAAGTTGCTCATTTTAGACATATTCTCTTGAGTATATATAACCTTTTCTTCTTTTTTAAATTACTTTGCTGGGAAACAGTAACTGAATGGAAGGA